GTAGATGAGCGATTGCGCAACGTCTATTTTGCAAACCATGAACCTGAGCCTGAGTGCGTGGTAGGTGGAATGCTTTAGAGTTCTCCGAATGACCGCGCTAATCTATTTGTGACTCAATAGCAATGTTACAGTACACAATAACATTGGTACAATTAACTTATAAGCTTTCTGCAATTGAAGCTGTTTTGTTATGATAACTGCTGTTTAACGCCGCAGTACGCGTTCCGAATGTTATCACAAGAATGCTGAGTTGTGGGCAAAAGTCGTGCCCCAGGCGGGAGTCGAACCCGCACCTCACGCGAGTGCGCTATCCGTTACGCCACCAGGGCCGCTTTTACCCTCTCAGCTTAACGGCTTATGCCGTAGCCTTACAGCACTCACACGTTTTCACCAAGTTAAACGTGTGAGTGCTGTATAGGCTACGGCATAAGCCGTTAAGCTGAGAGGGTAAAAGCGGCCCTGGTGGCGTAACGGATAGCGCACTCGCCCGGAAAGCGTGAGGTGCGGGTTCGACTCCCGCCTGGGGCACGACTTTTGCCCACAACTCAGCATTCTTGTGATAACATTTCTGCAACCGATTTTTTTTTCTTCCTTTCCTTACTGAGAGCACGGAAGGAGGAATATGCTTTTGCTCGGCTTCCGTCTAAGGGCACGTGCGAAACGGAAGCTGAGCTATCTCTTTGCTTTCGACCCCCTCAATAATTCTCATTTATTATTTTACAACATAGTCCATTATTTTCATTCCCTATGATTTTTCATTGGTACAGTAAAATATATACATTGCTACGGCGCGTTCATACCGTGCGGCGTTGTCGTCAACGTCGACGTAACCTGCGTAAACACAAAAGGAAATAATGATGTGAAAAGAGTTGTGGGGGAAGAAGCATTTACGAAATACAAATGATTGGCCCAGTCGCCGAAATGTAGCTTTCGTTGGTCACGCAGCTTTTGTCAGTTTCGTCGTCCAATCGATACGTATCTAATCTTCGCGAAGTAGTCGGTTACGCAGCTTTTGTCGGTTGCAGCTTACGCACTTTACGCAGCTTTCGTCGGATCGATACGTATATAATTTTCTGAGCTAGTTGCAGAAAACGTCACGCGGTATGAACGCAGCCTAAACGGGCCATCATTTCATGACACGCTTGACTCCGCCCCGGTGTCTCCGCCCACTTGCTAGTGAACTCATTGAAAGATTTGCTGCATTACAACTTCTTTCAACGACTTCCTTTTCCAGTGAACTTTCAATGTATCGTACTGTACATTGTATTGCAAACTCCGCCCCCTCCCGCCCCCTCCAATAGTAAGCTCCGCCAAATTCTTCGGAGTTTTGTAATTTTTTGAAACTTTCGACGTTTTCGGCTTCTGTCACGTACGGCTCCGCCCATTATAGTCAAGCACTGCCTACCATGGTAAATTCCGCTCACTTCCCATGGGATTTCATCGGAATCTATGGGGAATTCCGCCCACCCGCAGAATCCGTCCCATTCAAGGCACAGTTAATACGCAAAGCTTGTTTTATCGGGTTTGCTCATCAAAACAGTTTGCGCAATTTATATGGTCGTACGAATCAGTTATCAGTATATCAATGTATTTCAGGAAGATGCACGACCGCACAGTGTTCCTCCATTGCGTGTTGGTCTCCCTGATCGTCTTGAAGGACTCCGCTTGGGTGGGGCATTAAGTCGCAATAGTCGTGATGCAACTCCATCGACCCCTTCATCGTGTTCACTATCTTCTCACGGCGGCGCTTTCCATTCTGATCGAACTCTTCCTGCGAGGGTGAGATTTCGTGGATATTTGAAAGGAAGAGCATGCTAATCAGGAAGTAATTTGTACTTTCCATGTATCTGTTTCATGGAGACCTAACTATATCGATGAAGTTTGGAATGCTGGCCATGAATAGAAAATCGAAATTTTCATTTTAGTCCATCAAACAAGTTATAGGTGATTAAGATTTAAAATTCCGTCGAAAAGTTCTCCTCTAGGCGACTGTCTCGTCTGCAATAAGAGCTTTCAGCGTTCAGTTGATGCGATAGTTCAGGATGTGGAATCACTCCACGGGGTCCAATCCTTAGCCTGAGTGTAATGCTCTAAATTCGCTCATTCGCCACCAGAGCACTGCACCATGCAAAATTGCCCGCTCATAACTTGCTTGGAATGTGCAGGTAGCAGTACCAGTTTCCACATTTGTAGTCAACGTTTAACCCATCGACCAGGCGCATTTTTCGAAAACGGCTCGTTCGGACCGGAGCATTTGCGAGCTCTCAGCAAGTGTCCGCCACCAGTGGCGGACACTTGCTGAGAGCTCGCAAATGCTCCGGTGATCCTTTACTAACAATTTTGGAACTGTTCAACTTCCTGCTCCCGAAATCTTTTTACTGAACCATCGAGTGCAGGGGTTATTCCTCAGGTCACAAAAATGACATTCGTCTGTCCTCCGGTGCCATTTGGCGCCAATGTGCGCTAATTTAGTGCTATAGTCTTCCCTCGAAAACCCGTGTAAGCTTGCATATTGAGGTGATTTGACATAATGAGGTGGCTCAAAACCTTTGGATGGCAAGGAGGTTTTGAGCCGAGCGGAAGTGGTACTCGTGTTCAAAAGGTCAAACCAACTCAGGAAACGACTGCTAAGCCAAGTCTGTCCACATAGAAAGAAAGTTGGTCGAAGTTGGCTTGGTTCCGGATGTCTGAGGCAGTAAAGGGTTGACAGTGCCTATAGTTTTTCACCGGCGCTATTCGGCCCGATCACAAATGACATTGGTTTTTATCTTTGCAGAGCGCTACATGGCATGAGCGCCAAGTAGCGCTCTGCTATGTAGC